TTTAATGTCCCATTTGGACGTGAGCAGAGAGACAGCCCCAACCCTACCGGCAGTGTTTTGTCGCTGTCCCTCTGCTCCAAATGCCACTCTCTCAGGGCCGTGGCTTTAAACGCCACTTCATACGAGAATTTATTGTGATAATACACTTAGATTACGGCTCTTATTGCACTCGAGTCACAACATTTATTATTCACATCTTGAAGAATGTTTCATATTCGTCAAGAGTTTTGAATGAAAGTTTGGTGGTGTCTCCATTGGCAACATTGGGGAAAATTTGCTTAAATCGAAGAGGGGAATGAGGACTTTGCTGTAATTTTGAGCTTTCACAAGCATGAGTGACCATCATAAACAAAGTTGTATTCTTTTCGATTTAAAGCTTTTGTGACTGCAGGGATTGATCTTCTTGGTTCTTTCGGTAAAGTCACGTAGAAGGGAAATAATAAAATAATAAAAATAAACATAATAAAATACAATTCTCACGACGTTTCGGCCACAACGCAAGCAGCCGTTCTCAGGTGAAGAACAGGTCTGTCGGAAAGACGCTGTCTTTCCGAAAAGTTGTATTCATTGACTGTAATAATAATGATACGTTGTTGTTGTAGGGGTTGCATTCCTATAAACAAACGAGAGCCTATTGATAGCATGAGTCCCATACAACATAGATCTGTCAGTCCGATTCCACAAATGTGACTGAACGCACAGCGTCGAGATGCCATCATCATGATCCTGGCGGCCACAGCCCTCGTCTGATCGTTGCCGGGATCACTTTTTGTTTCACAGAGGAAATGTTGCCAGCAGTTCTTTTTAGCTGTGATGAGAATTGATTCTCGACAATCTGTCCACTCTGAACTCAGACCCATGTCTGATCCTGTTACCGTGGCTCCAATCGAAACGTCCTAGTTTTTTGTTGTTATTTTATCTGAACCTATCTACGTGACTTTACCGAAATACCCAAAGAATATGAATTCCTGCAGTCACGAAAGCTTTAAGTCAAGATTTAACCACACACACTTCGCTACAGAATGACAACTTTGACTTGGGCTTAAGCTGTAAAATAACCTTGACTTGCTGTCATTTTATATTTTCATGCACCTCTCAAAGGAGAACGGGTTTCAGCGCTCTGTCAAACCACTGCTGGGTGAAGGCCTCGTCGTGCTGTGACAGTCATTGGAGTTATTTGACTGCACACCACCGCAGCTGGCAATTGCTGGTTTTACGAATGGAAGGGATGGTCACGAAAGGATCAGAGAGCACTCGCCACTGATGTCAGCCATGGTCGGGAATCAAACTCAGGCGACCAGGTTCATAACGTAGTAAGCTAACTGATGTGCCACCACGCCACTGATTGATCCTCACATGTGTGCATATTCTGAATTAAAATGATAACAAAATGTGGTTTAATAAATACATATATTTCTTCATTATCTATCCCGTGCAATTTTATCAAATGTCACAAAGGTTAATCTTGTCCACCCACCTCCCCTCGAAAACAAGAACTTTCTGTCAGTTTAGAAGCAAGCACTTGCATGGTTCTAAAAGTAGTCCCTGTATTATATTTGCGATATAGAGCTTTACAACTCATTTGATTCCCCCATTATAAATAAGGATTCTCATTCTGATTAATTGAGTAAATATCAATTGCATGTCACCTGCTCAAAACAAAGGTCCGCTACTGCTCAACGAAACGTCTTGTGCGGTACACAGATATGAACAATGCCACAAAAACAAAGCACGCTTTGAGTGGTCATTTTTTCATCGTAGTCATCGTCATCATCATCATGCCATGGGCATATCGCAAGAGCGCCGTGGTACAGCGATGCCGCTTCACAGCCGTTCCAACGTTTCTGCTGCCGCCGCGGATGAACTTTGTTCACTCGGTCCCACGCAGAGCTGGAAATCGCCTCTCTGGGCACGGTCGCCGACCGGGCAACAGTGAAACCACGACGGCTTTCTAGCCGAGGCCACCCGTCCGCACGGGGTGCAATTACTCTGTCAGCCCCAGCTTTCCGCTCTGCAGTAACTCAAGAGTTAAGATGTCATTACGTGCACGCTTCTCTGATAATTGTTCTCTTTTGACAGGCTTCGTCGTTTCGTTCGTTCAATTTTTTTCGTCTTCACTTTGGTAAATCTAAAAAGGAATTTGTTTTGGGGGGAAAAAAGCGCCGCTCTAAATGGGAAACCAGGTGTCCCCTCCCACTCCTTTGTGACATTATCTCCGCCGTCTTCACGATGATCCCATCATAGCAATCTTCTGGGCTCTCTAAATAAACCCTAATTCATACCTCGGCCGTTTAGGGCTGTAATCGAGTTTACGGCGAGCCGCCACTGAAGGCACGGGAGGCAGGCGGCGTGAAGGTGAGTCCAGCGCGCTTTGGTGTGACACACAGGAGCCCGTCAATAAGGGGTGGGAGCAACGCGGCAATAAACACAACTCATTACCATTACCCATCCATTTGTTTCAGCTAGGGCCACTTCAGAGCACGGGACGCTTTGCCTCGGAGGATTTAAGAGGTTGCAATCACCGGTGCAAGGTAAACAAATGGGCACTGTTGAGGTGAGGGGCCGCTGGCAAATCGGCACGCGTAATTTTACACGGCGAAGAGCAAGTTTCGCGAAAGTGGGCTAAATTAAGCGGCAGTAGCCTGTGAATATTGTCACCAGGACATTTACATGTCATCGCTGCACCCCCTCCCCTCCCCCCACGCTCCGAAAACGGAGAGTCATAAACGTGCCTACCGTGCGCTGGCTGGCGCATTGAGTCATGCAATGGCTTTTGCCGCGGGGACATCGGTGTGACCCGGGGAAAACCCACGGGGACTTGCAAGCGAGAAGCGTTTCGCGTTCGTTTCACGCGCGCGTGACCGAAATGAAAGGAAGGGTTTTGCTCCGCCTGATCCCAGGGGCACCCCAGGTGTTTTTGAAGATCAGAGTGGCCGCCGTCATTAGCAAATGACGTCGAAATGTTCCAGACGGGCATGAAACCACCACTGACCTTAATGAATGTCGTAAACTCGATTACACCCCTAAACAAATTCCTGCGTGCAGTTGTTATTTATGGGGGCCCTGTGTGGGAATTGAAGCCCTCTCAACCCTAATTCTAGGGTGCCGCATTACAAGGGAGCTGCGAGTCGCCCGCAGACATGTGCAGCCTGACACCGCCAATTACCAGCACCCGACCTCTTTATGGGGCAGTTCTGGCCGGTTCGACAATAAAATCACTATTTATGACGTGGGCCCAAAAAAACACGGAAAAAAAAATCTGCGGTAACACTGATGTCACCGTATCGAGGTGCAGTAAATCCTTGCCGTCATTGATGCTGCAGATCAAACGGAGCGGCTTCGAGGGCAGAGTAAATGTTTGTGACGCAGGTCTCCACCGCCGCCGTTGTTTTGACGGAATCGTGGTCGGTTCGTGCTGGGAGTTTGGCGGTGCCACGATGGCGTCACCGCTTGTCCGCGTTTCCGTTTCCTCACTTTATGATCCTCCGCAGCCCCTCACCCCCAACTACTTTGCGGTGGCAGCAACAATGAGGAATCCGTCGGATGCCCGGGATGATTGCAGGTTAGTCACTGCGCGCCCATTAACTGACGGCTTTCCCGAGCGGTGTAGAGCGAGGTGTGTGCGTGAAACGCGAGCGCTCGCAGAGCCCCGGGGATGCAATGCTGGCCGCTTTTCACGGGGTGCGCATGGCCCAAGACGCGCCATTCCATCTCACGGTGGCATCACCACCACCGCCTCCCCCCCCCCATCAAGACTATGGATCAGCTACGAAGCATCACCTTCACTCACCCTTGCAGGCAATTTCATGCTGCCGTCACTCGGTTCGCTGCCTCCTGAAGTGGGGAGAATCGGTCAATACCAGCGGCGGTTCACGAGGAAAATATTGTCTGGTATTCACGTGATTGAGCAAATAGAGCGTGAGATGATGATCGTGTGTGTGAGCCGATTAGGGAGCAGACAGGGCAGTGAGTAGAGTACTGAGAGCGCATCGCTTTAAACAAGGGGCACCAACTGATCTCGATGTGTGCGGAAAGTTTAACCTGCCGTTGTTTTGAATCACATTTTATATATATATAATGCGTGACTTCTAATTATGAGTTTGTTTAAACATTTTTTAAGGGGATGTCAGAAATAGTACCATATATTATAATTGTTTTAGTTCATTTTGTGCGACGTATCAACATTCATAAATGAAATCATTCAAGTAATGAAACTAAAGATAACAATTGATTTTAATTTTTTTCCATATAAAGAATGATGTCTTTGACATTAGTCTTACAAACCGTACAAGGCAAGATGGAGGCACTTACAAATTAATTTCCTTTCACGAAACCTACAACAGTGCACGAGGCAAGCTCATACCTGAGCATCACATTACACGTGAATACGATGAACGGCAGTGAGTTCATCAACCTTGTGCAGCCTGCCATAGGATGTGGCCTTGGCAGTTTTAGGGGTCCCAGGATCAAAGCGCCGCATCGCACCCCCACCAGGATGAGGTTCAGGGATCCGAGGGTCAGCATCCGAGGCCGCTCCCTGCCCAGGGAACCTGGCGCTTCATAGAACGACCCCTGCAGAGCCCGAATTGCTCCCAGAGTGAAGCCGTTTCCTCTGTAGCTCCTCTCCACCACGCTCGCCTGATCCGCCGCTGTCGCCTGGTCTTCCCTGACGCCGTTAGCCAACTGAAGATATTCATCTTCTCGGTTCTTTCGGTAAAGTCACGTAGAAGGGAAAAAATTAAATGATAAAAATATAACATAATAAAATACAATTCTCACGACGTTTCGGCCACAACGCAAGCAGCCGTCCTCAGGTGAAGAACAGGGCTGTCGCTGTCCTCAGGTGAAGAACAGGGCTGTCGCTGTCTTTCCGACAGCCCTGTACTTCACCTGAGAACGGCTGCTTGCGTTGTGGCCGAAACGTCATGATAATTGTATTTTATTATGATTTATTATTTTATTTTTTTATTTCCCTTCTACGTGATGACTTTACCGAAAGAACCAAGAAGAGGAATCCCTGCAGTCACGAAAGCTTTAAATCGAAATTTAACTGAAGATATTGTTTGACGAGATAAGGCAGGGGCAATTATTCGTTGATCTCATCAAGGAGCATAAACCATCAGGCAAACTCCGATCATCCCTGCAGCGGCTTTTGGCTTACCATGGAATAAAGTTGGTCACTGCATCACGTGCTATCATATGCGCTTTTCGAGCTAATTGGAACACTCTTCCTTCCGATATTAGGAAGCCACTGGAGCGAGACACTTTTAAATCTAGATTGAAAACTACTTTCTTTAGAATCGCTTTTTGTGTTTAGTTTGTTATCCTTCCCCCGCACCCTCCGATACACACGAATGATGCCAAGGCAATTGATGAAGTAATTTTACGATGTGCTTGCAGAGTTGTTACCCGTTGCTGGTAGCGGGGTTTTCTCGCTCCCCCTTGGCTCTAGAGTAGTCCCACTCCACCAGAGGCGAACTACTGGGCTCACTAATGATGGCAATCGAAGTGTTTAGCACGTAACTTTAACTGGTGAGCCTGCCCTACGCGTAAAATCATCGCCCTTGTGGCTGTACATATAGCCTCAACTATGTGTAAAATATCATTTCTTTAGCCGTTATTTACCATTGCCATCATTTACATCAGTAAGTCAGTCAGTCAGAGGGGTTTGTCTTTCGGTATATGTCTTGCATCAAACTTTATTCCGACCAAAGATAACCGCTCAGAGCTGGCCTCACTCCAGCCCCACAGGGACCGTGTTGTTCTGGCCAATTGGGGGACCTGAGAAATCGTTTTTGGTGGCTCCCCTCCCGCCTCCCCGCCCCCATTTTCAATTGATGAGATCTCAGTGAGATGACAGCGGAGGTTATAGACAAGAGGTAGATAGGTAGCGAGATAAAGTATACATTTCGACAAATACATACATAATGTGAGATGAGACGAGAGATGCATGTAATGATATAAATGAAAGATACGAGTTTTCTTTATTTGTTGATGAGCTTGTTATATTAACGAGGACTAGAATTTGTGCTCATATATATCTTTTAAAAAACCTTATATGTGTGTATGTTTTTGGTTTGAATCTGGGGCTCCTTGAGCTTTTGGATTCCTCAGCCTTTCCATGCTTTGCTAATGCCTTGCACCGGCACACTCCGCGCTTTGGTCAAGTGCTCTGCATGCCAAAGTGGGCTTCTCGTGAGGTAACCAGACAGCCAGAGGAAAAGATGCCGGGGGAAAAAAAAGACGTCATTCAAAAGCAGCAGATGCAACAGAGCTCAACAAAACTCCCAGCAAGGTGGCAGAGCAGGCGCAAGGCTGCGTTCAGCTGGCGATGTCTCCCCATTGGGTGACCGACATCACCTTCGGCAGCGATCCAAAGGCAGCGCGACGCTTGGGAAAGAATCCTTCCCATACACGCGATGGGACGCGCGGACGTGGGGCGGTATGGTGCGTACCGCTGTGTTCAAGCGTCCGGTCCATCTCATTCAAATTTCTCGTTGTCGCTCTTCGTGTCGCTATTTGGTTAACGTGGCTATTTGGTAACCGTGCGAGATAATGTTCTGTGAAATGAGAGAAAAATGCAGGCACCTACATATTTAAAATATACCGTATGATGTAAATGGTTAAGAGTTGCACGTCGATTCATCCTCTCATGAATACGAATTCTGCATTGCATGGCAATGTTATTTTGAGTGTTTTCCTGATGTTGTTTTGTTTCACATTGGAATTCGCTGCTTTGCTGCAACTTATTGAGGCTCAGGTCTCCCTCAGTAAAGAGACTCACGGTCTCGTTGGACTGTTACCTGCACATCAATAAAGGCCATTTTAAATCTGCTTCTCTGCCTCTCTTTAGTATCTCTGTCTCTGTTCATCTCTCTGCCCGTCTCTATCCGTGCCAATGACAGGAGTACCGCAACTCAATCTGACCGCTTGCGAAAGTGACTTCCAAGAAACGCCCATTGTCCAGGTTTGGCAAAATTCGACATCATCCACCAAGAGATGGCAAGATAAAGCAAAGCATTCCCTCGTTATCAAAACTGTAAACTTTAATTGTTAAGACCAGCTATGTCCAGACGGGAAAAAAAAAACATTGACTTTTTTCATAAGTACACATTTTTCAAAGAATGAGGAAATATATGTACAGCCTTTTAAATAAATAACTTTAAATGATTTAGATCACGTACATTTAATGAACCCCCCCCCCTCCCCCCTCAGTACCTAGAGATCAGCCAGACGGGTTCGGAGTGACCCCCTTTCGCCTGCCCCACTGCGGCGGAGCGCTTTTAAACCCTCGGCCCGAGTGTTGAGGTAGTTAATGGCGGGCACAGTTTGACTACCCTCATCGAGCGAGGTCGCGCGTCCCGTCGCGTACACCTCGCCCGCCGGTGGCCACGGGCCGTGTCCGAGCGGGCCGCCACGGTGGGGCAGCGCGCCCGGTGGCTTCCTGGCGGTCCCTCGCTCGAGTCGGCTCGGCTGCAGGATAGCCTCGAAGCACGAATCCTCACATTTATATACTTTGTCACCAATTACACTTTTTTTGTCGATTAAACGGTATTTAAAATAAAAATATATTATATGTAAAAAAAAAAGTTACTTTTGAGGAAGGGGGGGGGGCGAGGGTTGGAGTGGGAGGGGAGCGAAATAAACAAAATGTTTACGCAAACAAATCTGGCCACGGAGGGTTAAATGGGGGGGGGGGGGGCACGGGGGGCGAGGGTAGTCACGGCGACCGTAGCAGCTGCGAAGTCGCACGGATTGCGGCTCGACACGGCCTAGCGTCGCGGTGCGCGCCGTCGTTACAACGACTGCAGCCGCGGCGTCGGGTTCGCGGAGCGTGGCGCGTGCGCGAGCGGGTGAAGAAGGCTCGTGCGCCTCAGTAGGAGCGGTGATCATGCTCGGCGTGGCTCGCCGAGCAACGCTTGTCAAAGATCCTGACACGGGAGCGGCGGCGGCAGAAACAGCAGCGGATCTCCTCGTGCACCGGAATCCATTCGGCAATTTCCGCCGATGGCGACAGAGTTCGGTGGCAGTACGGACGCGATCGCCGCCGGCCGGCCTCAGCCCTCGTGGGCACGGCTGGCTCGGGCCCCCGGCTTCTCGCGCTGCCCTTATTCGTGTATTTCCTCCGTGTCCTCCCTTTGATCTTCTTTAGTTCTGGCGCGAGACTCGTCAAACGAACGTCAAATCCCAGTGTTGGACTCATTCACAGTAATGCGCGGATTCGCCGCGTGCTTTACAGGGGCAGGTTGCCCCCCCCCCCCCCTGGAGCCGCACTCCTCGACAAAAACGACGGAGGGGACGGGGGTCTGCTCCGAGGCAAGACGCCGCGTGTTTTTTTTAAGTTCACGAACAAACTAAAAGAAACGAGAGTCGTACACTGGAGGTCCCCCTTTGGCCGGGCTGCCGCAGGGCAACGTGCGCACGGTCGCGGTGAGATCTGATGCAAAGGTGCTTCAGAGTTTCTAAGGCATTTCAACGCCTGATGAATGCAAATCCTCGAGCGCGCTCAACACCGACAACTTGCACGGCAGACAGGCGGGCCGGGCCGGGCTCACGAGCCGGCGGTCCCTTCACTTGCACGTGTGAATGTCGTAGACGCGCGCGCACTCCTGGCAGCTCACGTAGCAGCACCAGTGGAAGACGCACTTGCACTTCTCCCGGCGCCTCTCCGTGTGCGTGTTGTAGCCGCGGCTGCAGCACAGCAGGTCGCAGCCGTCGATGCCGTGCGACGTGAGGTTGCAGGGCCGGCCGTGGGTGCCCAGCGAGCCCGTCTCGACGCTTGGCTCGCAGAAGTTGGGCGACGTCTCGTAGTAGACGAGGTCGCGCTCCGCCGGCGGCTTGAAGAGCGGGTACTTGGGCCGCAGCGTCTCGACCCAGCCGCGCGACTCGCGGTGCCGCTCCACCAGCATCTCGGAGGCGCTGTCGTACTTGTCCTTGAGGTGGTCGCCCACCGTGCGGAAGCTGGGCTGCGCCCACCAGCACGTCTTCACCTCGCAGCTGCCCGACAGCCCGTGGCACTTGCACTTGCGCTGCATGAAGTCCAGGATAGACTACGCGATGGGGCGAGGGGGGAGGGGCGGTGGGGATGGGACATGGGAGAGAGAAAACAGCGTTGAGTGAAGGTGACTCGTGATTGGTGAAAACTCTGCCAGGTTTGGAGAGGCACGGTGGCAGCGGAGCCTGCGAGGTGCGGACGCTGGCAAAACGGAGTCAGCGATCACCTGCGGTGGTCGTATTGTATTTATGTTGATGGATGTACGTTCGCACCATGCGTAGCCAACCCTGATTATCGGAGGTGCGATGCTTTCGGAACCTCCAGCAGCCACGTGTCTGGCTGTGTGCCGTCGTCGTCGTCGTCGTCACAACTTCATTCGCTTTATAAATGAAACTCTGGCAAACGAACTCGCCCTAGGGGTTAATTAATCAGCTCATGAGTTTCCCCAAGGGGATCCCTCAAGGTCGCGATAAAACATGCGACCAACACAACAGCATTCGCAACTGCGCTCCCGACCAAACACCTCTACTCTACAATAAGCTCATCCACACGTCTACACAAATACAAACCAACCTCAAGCGGAGGAGGCATACAACCTCTGAACATCCCGAGTGCCATAGCGGACGCCCCACAGACGCACAACGGAGGAATGGACACGCTCAGTGATGTCCACTCTAGGTACGAAGTGTTTGTGTGTCCATTCTGAAGGACTCTTCAAGCAGCATTGTGCTTGGTCCCAATGTTAGTTGGCACGGAATCGAGTACTTGATCTAGGGCACACACAGCAGGGCTTGTGGATATATTTCCTTGGCGTGATGCTGGATGATCGATGGCTCCTTTTATTAAACAGCAGACACCTTCACCTTTGTTGGCTTCCGTGTTGTTCTGGTGGACACTTCTCGATTCAAAACCATTCCGTAAGTCACGACTCTCGGCTGGAAGTTTTCACGCGTCGTGGAAAATGCGCTGTGAAGGAGGATGGAAGGTCTTTCCCCAACAATCCGATGTATATGAACGTGAAGGTCATGAAGGATTAATTTACGTGAAAAAACTAGGATGAGGATAATGCGATGGCTGTATAGGGTGGAGTAGTGGCGCAGTGGTTCGCGGACGATATTACAAACCCCAGTGGCCGGAGTTCAAATCCAAGCCGTGGCTAACATCAGTGGAGACTGGTATCTGAACTGATCCTGCCTCACACCTCACTAACCACTAAACAACGTTGAAGATCAAGGTGAGCGATGGTCAAACAACACTCGTGACCAACACGGCATGGGGAAGCCTTCATGAGCCGAGTTGGTTTACTAAAGTCCAGCGTGGGGGGGATGTTTGGCCAAAGCCTCTTTAAGTGTGCTTGAGGCTGTTGAACAGTGTTCGCAAATCCTTGATTTTTAATCCACGGCCAGTGAGCGCCCAACAGTTGTGCCAAAGTGCACAAGCTATGCTCCCGAAACGTAACCAAAAGTGCAACTCGTCTCGCTTCGGCTTTCCCCCCTAGAGGCGAGCGCGTTCGTGCGCAGTCGTGCGGCGTGCGCCCCACTCGCAAGACACCTCGAGGGAAAACTCGTTTTTTGTTTGTTAAATGGGACTTTTTTTTCAGCAGTGGATGTGACAAAAGAAGAAGTTTGAAAGATGATCGGTAAGCAAAGCAGAGAGAGAGACGGACAGGTGGGCACATGTCCAAATATCGAGATTAATGCGTGTGAGCCGAGCCAGTTCCGCAGATATTATGCAACTTTGGCCCACCACTTGCCAACTCGGCGCGGGAAAGCGACCGGCGCATGTCACGTACGAGCGCTGATCCCAGGAGAACGTTTTCCCCAGTGCCTCCAGCAGCTCAAGCTGTAGCCTGTGCGAAGGAGTGAACCTCGTTCTGGATCCGCTCTCGAAAAGAAATCTACTATTTCTCAAATGCACGTTAAAACTCGGCTCAAACTGATGTCGGGCAGGGATTCACGCGCACTGCACCCCCCATTGGTTCGATCCCTGTTCAAGTCCAACTGCAGTGGTGAGTGATATCCAAACCTATCCTAAGTCGCCCTTAAATGAGCACCTGATGCTGTGGCGTGCCCTAAATATCAGCCCTCCGCGAGACAAACACGGATAGCCCTTTTGCGTGCGGGCGCCTTTGCCTCTGCCATGCACACGCCGCGATGGCCCCAAGCCTCGCGCCAGACACCTGCCGCACTTTTTGGAATTCGTCGTTCGGCGAAAGATCCGCGGACGCGGGGCTTTTCTTCGTTTTTCACGGTAGCATCTCCGGTGTTACCCCCGGCTACGGCGCAGGCGTGATCTTGATGTTGATAGGGAGGGCGAAGCTTCCATCTCGCCGCGTTCGCTAAAGTGCTGTGGTGTTCGTGGTGGGGGGGGAGGAGGGGGGTGGCCTCTCTCTTGTCTCGGCTCTCATTGCTCGAGGAGCGTGTGTCAATCTTGCCGCCCGGCGCGTGAACACTTGCTCACTGCCCGGCCCGGCTCGGCGGGTCCAGCTGACTCGCGCGACGGTCGCCTGTAGCGTTGTGCGTCTGCGCAGGCCGCGAACAAAAAAAAAACTGCCGAGGTTGTGAGAGAGAGAGGGAGAGAGAGAAAAAAAAGAAACAAGAAATTTCTGCGAAGGCAGCGAGTGTGGTTTTTGCGGCTCTCTGCACCGTGACGGGCACGTCAAGGGACTCTGTTTACATTGCTTCACAAACAAATGGGATCTTAAAGATCTCTGCCGAGAACGGAAAAAAATGCACGAAAGCCAACGCGCGCGCCCCTTGTCCCTTCCTCTCCACGCTAGACCCCCCAAAAAAAGGTGCCTTATGTAATTTTTGCATATTTTCGGTAAGTTCCTCCTCGACATTGTTCAAATTCCCACTTATTCCGAGAGAAAACACCAGCGTGGTAACAAAGCGGCCTCTGCTTGTTTACATTAGACGCAGGAATCCACTTTGGCTTTCCCAAAGTCCCCCCCATCCCACCCCCCCCCCCTGCGCGCAGCAGTAACAGCAGCAGCAGCAGCAGGTGCGGCCGCGGCAGAGAAATGTCCTCCCGGCCTCGGAGAGCGAGCACCTGGCGGGGGCGTCGTGGGAACCGGGGGCGGCACCGCACCACCGACCATCGCGCTCCGTCGCCCGAGAGCTGTTGTCTCGAAACCGCGAATGCGCACCCCCACCACCGCCACCACCACCACCGTCACCGCCACCGCCACCACCGCCGCCGCCACCACCACCGCCACCACCACCGTCACCGCCACCGCCACGACCACCGCCACCACCACCACCGCCACCACCGCCACCGCCACCGCCACCGCCACCACCACCACCGCCACCGCCGTGCGAGCGATTGACGCCGGGGGAGCGAGTGATGTTGGCTCCCGCCGTGCCAGCAGTGCGCGCCGGACGATGATCCAGCGCCCCCCCCCCCCCCCCCCCCCCCCGCTGGAGGTTTTTTCGCCTGCCGCGGCGTTTGAGCTAATTCTCGTGGACGTTATTTCATCGAGATGGCCGTGCCGGCAATCTCCGGACGCCTTAGGCTGAGGCTGAGGAAGGTCTGGACCATATTTTTGTAGTTGACAGCCCTAATAGGTACTCGCGAACAACAACTGCCCCAAAAATCTGTTTAGACTTTAGAGCCTATGCGGGGGATCTCTGTCTCTGTGTGTGTGTGACTGTACGGGCGTAGGAGTGGGAAGGGCTGTGAGGGGCCAGGCTGTGGATCTGTAATGTTGACGTTGAGTGGGTGGCAAGTGCAAAAGTACATTTAACAACTTCTGTAGTTGGTGCTCTAACTCTGTCCCAAGAGAAACCGCTCTAATTTCGTGAAGCCGCACTTCATTAAGTGTGGTTAACACATAAGCAGAAAACCAGATTTACCATTCGCAGCTGCGCATTGCCTCATTCTGTTGCACAAGCATAAACATCATACCTTAAACCTCGAGCTTCTGTGGAATTTAGCTGACCTCTGCCATGTTGAGCACAGTGGTGGTGCGGTGTGTGGAACTAGATGGGTTCGATTCCCAGCCATGGCTAATATCAGCGGCGAATAATTTCTAAACCGGTCCTGCGAGGTCGACTTAAACGAATACCGGGCACAATGCGTGAACATCAACACTGAGACCATGGTGGCACCGTACAGTGATAGACACACCATCCCATCTTGCGCTGTGCTTGTCTTTGTAGTTGGTGCACCAACAATCTATGGGTGATCTATCAACTTTTTGAGAAACTTGGATGTGTGTGTGGGTCTCAAGTTGCAGCCTAGCCTGGCACAAGATCAATGGCGACATCGCCACCACTTTAGACCGGGATGCGCGAAGGCAATTTTAGGACAATCTTCACTGGCAACAGTTGTCGGTACCATTCTCTATCGATCCCTTGGCGAGACCTCCATCACCTCTGTGTCGTTGCCACACAAGTTGCCATAGTTACTCGAGATAGATGTGTTGCCGGTGAAGGTCGCCAATGAAGATTGCTCTATAATTGTCGGCTGCTGTTGCTATTGGTGTTGTGGGCGGTGATAGTGGTGCTGGTGTTGGTGGCGGGTCATGATGTTGGCGACAGTGGTTACGGTGGTTGTGTTGTCGTGGTGATGGCAGCGGTGGTAATGGGTGGTCGTGTGAGCGATAGTGGCGGTAGAGGTGGTTTTGAGGATGTTGGCGGTCATGGTGGCATCGGCAGTGTTGGTGGTGTTGGTAGTGTCGGTGGCGCCGATGTTGGTTGTGGTGACACCGATGCTGTTGGTGGCATCGGCAGTGGCGGTGTTGCCGCTGGTGGTGATGATCAGGGTGGCGTTGGTGGTGCTGGCGTTTGCTGCATTGGCACTGATGATCGTGTTGGCATTGGCTGTGATTGACGCTGTTGGCGGTGGTGATCGTGGCAGCGTTGTACTCACGACGCGGCCGGCCTCGTTGTTGTGCCGGTTCATGGCGGAGCGCGCATCGGGGCGGTTCTCGCGCGCGTCAGCGAACTCGCGCGACACCATGACGCCAAAGTCGGCGTCCTCGCTGCAGCCGCCCCACTTCCAGCCGCCGCTCGGCTCGCCCCGGTGTTTGTTGTCACAGCCGCAGATGGTGGACGTCCCGTCGGCGCACGCCCGCGTCACCGCGAAGCCGACGCCCGCGGACGAGACGGCGTGCACGAAGGACGCCTCGCGCGTGGCTGCGGAGAGAGCGGACGAGGAATCACACGTCATTTTACACGCTTTCATTTAACTCACTCTGTCTGTTGTTGTCGTTGTCGTTGTTGTCGTTGTCGTTGTTATATCCTCAAATTTTGTAACTCAATTTTAACCCACTTCCCAATGTGGTATCGACTGCAAACTTGGTCTACTTATGTCATACTGATGACAATACTATATTCTATCATAGAAAATAAAAACATATATTTTTAAACATTCTTTTTTTATATGTTATGTTTCGGCTTGGGTCTAATTGTCCACGGTAAACTGACATTGGCTGTAATTGGCCACGGTCCCTTACGTTATGGCAAGCTTTGGGGCCACTTCCTGGAGTCGTGGAGTTCTGCCATTACTAGTACATTTCATAAAATCGTGTTTAAAAAAAGTGTTTTGAGATATTACTCGTTTTTTAATGTGCTCGTTGTGGCTGCTGAGGACAGTTTGCCGAAAGTGCCGAGTGCGTCCCGATGGTTTCACACGTGGGCTTGCGTGACCGTTTGCACCATTCGCGGTTGGTTTATTGTGGGGTTTGACCATCGTGGAGGCGTGACGTCAGTCAGAGCTGTGAACGTCCGCCGCACGACACGGCAAAACCACCTTGGCGTGCTCGCTTTTCACGCGCAATGGCCGGCGGTTTTCCGCGAAACAAAATCAATCGGCACGTTCGGCCGCGGCGTCGCGACTGGATTTGTTTGGCCGTGTCGGGTGGTGGAGGGCCGCGCAGCTCTCTAATGGACATCGCACCGACACGAACGTTGAAACCAAAATGAAGTAATGACAAAACAGGTTGTTGATAGATAAGCGTTTAGGATTCTGGAATTGAGGAGCTTGGCAAAAACAGGCGATGATGATGGTGGGAAACGGAATTTCAAAGTTGGCAGTGGCAAGGGAAGAAGCAGAAAGAGAAGCGTTGTGACCTGCGGTGTGGTGGGTGGGTGAGCGAGTGTGTGAGTGAATCAGTGGGTGGGTGAGTGGGTGTGTAAGGTGTGACCTGCAGTGTGGTGGGTGAGTGGGTGAGTGAGTGTGTAAGGTGTAGCCTGCAGTGTGGTGGTTGAGTGGGTGAGTGGGTGTGTAAGGTGTGACCTGCAGTGTGGTGGGTGAGTGGGTGAGTGGGTGTGTAAGGTGTAACCTGCAGTGTGGTGGGTGAGTGGGTGAGTGGGTGTGTAAGGTGTGACTTGCAGTGTGGTGGGTGAGTGGGTGAGTGGGGGTGTAAGGTGTGACCTGCAGTGTGGTGGGTGAGTGGGTGAGTGGGGGTGTAAGGTGTGACCTGCAGTGTGGTGGGTGAGTGGGTGAGTGGGTGTGTAAGGTGTGACCTGCAGTGTGGTGGGTGAGTAGGTGAGTGGGGGTGTAAGATGTGACCTGCAGTGTGGTGGGTGGGTGAGTGGGTGAGTGGCGGTGTAAGGTGTGACCTGCAGTGTGGTGGGTGAGTGGGTGAGTGGGTGTATAAGGAGTGACCTGCAGTGTGGTGGATGAGTGGGTGAGTGGGGGTGTAAGATGTGACCTGCAGTGTGGTGGGTGAGTGGGTGAGTGGGGGTGTAAGGTGTGACCTGCAGTGTGGTGGGTGAGTGGGTGAGTGGGGGTGTAAGGTGTGACCTGCAGTGTGGTGGTTGACCACAGAAATGTGATTGCGATGGCACAGTTCGTTTGGTAGACCCGAGTCCTCAACATGGGAGGACTGTTTTGAGGTTTTACCGCTGTTTTGTAACAGAGAAGTAGACAACATTCGGCTAACATTACAGTTGATTTTCTGATTGAGAAATTGATCAAACATCTCACGGCAAGAGCACCTTTCAACAGGCTCTTGAGGCTCACCGACGAGATTCACGCTGCGAGTTCATCTCGCCGAGTTCTCGTCGCTTCAATTAAACGGCTTTCGTTGATCACTTAATTAACAATGTTACTAGCGCATTTACTTTTACACGCTTCATGTTTTACTCAAGACACCGCGAGCTAACATGTTCTCACAGAAGCTAAGCAGGTTTGAGCCTGAGGATTACAACAGGTGCTATAAACTGCTACAGGACCCACATTATTGAGGTGCTGCAATATCAAAGTTCATTTATTAGGTATAGCCCTGTGAGCCATTCGGCTCTTGAATCGGGTGCAACCGCAACAAACAAAAAACAAAAACATGAACAAGAAAACATCTTAAAGTGATTATGTGCAAACAGAAAATCCAAAGATCAATGACTGCGCTGTGCTTCTACGCCGCCACGTCTATGTTCCCCGCTAACTCCCAACCCCAACCACCCTGACGAGCGCGGGTCGAAGACTCGTTAAGGAAACCCCGTGACCCGCACGACGCGGCAACGCGCTCGTCCAAACACTGGACCGACGGAGGAGCACACACGTGGCCATGGGGTGTCCGCACGGCCCGTCGGCTACTATCCCGCCGGAGCTTACGCAACACCCGTCCGACTCCTCGCCCGCCAACCCCCCGAACCCCATGCGAACCTCGCGAGGCTCTTCCCCCGACGGCTCAGGAACAGAGCAAGCCCCGTGGCTCCTCGCCACGCGCAGGGGTCGTGGTCCACCCCCCCCCCCCCCCCCCACTTCTGCGACGGTGTAGCCGCTACTCCCGTTTAACGGGCACCCAGGCGAGGGGGCGTTCTCCGTGTGCCTCCGATCGTGCCGCATTTCGTCAAATCTCAATTGAAAACTCGCTTCTTTGGAACCGCTTTTGGTGCTGAGTTTGTTGTCCTTCCCCCGAACCTCCTATTAGCACGGTTGGCTACGTACGGTGCAAAATAAGTTAAACATACATACACATTTGTCATCCTAAATACGATCCGTGCGTCACCTCGGGACAATGGCAACGTGGAGGACAACTGCGACCGATAGCTGCACCGGTCCGAGTGACTCTAAAGCGGCGTTTGGATCACCGCGGTGTGCGAGCGACGGCCGTCGCACCGAACGTCTCATCGTTCGCCGTGGCTGCCGTGCTGCACTGCGACCAAACCAACGAAAAGCGTCAATAGCGAAGTTGCAACAAACGTACTTTTCTGCCTTGCGTCCGACCATTGAGCTGGGATGACACACACACACACATTTAGACTGTGTGTATTTAATCCCATAAAACGGCTGACTAGTTCACACAGAGTGCGTGCGACCGCAAGTGCGTCTGGGTGCTTCAGAAGCAAACAAATCACGCCGGCGTCTGCAGGCTTCGCTTCTCCCGACACGTTCAGCCTGACGGGTTCGAACACCGCGCTCCCTTCCTCACACGCGTCTCTGTTGATACCATAGGTTCGTCGTCTATTTAGAACGTCTATTGCGGGTCACCTACGCAAGGCTTTGGTGTATGCAGATGGTCTGTATGGACCTGTGGCGAGGACAACGAGGAACATTCTTCCTTACTGGGGGGCTGAATGATACGACGCTGCATATCCATCTGACGGGGCCACACATTGACACACAGCTCGGTCACTTTTGACGCGGCAAGGGTCCCTTGCTGCTACAGAAGGGTACTGCGCGAGATACATTGAGAAGCTCGTTGTAGCCGGGTCAAAAAATATTCCTCTCTAGTACCCGATCAGTGCGGCTAAGATGCTCGCCAAGTGCTCGGCTACGAATGGCTGCAGGCAACAAGAAACTAAGTGAAGGGTCAATACGACAGCTGAAGTCAGTCGAGCACAGAGGTACAGTCGACATAGACAGTGGTGCACAGTCGTTGCGAGCCGAGGGCATCGCACATTCGAGACAGCGTCCACATTTGACGCTTTAACTCTGTGTGCGCGTCGCAACGTTCGTCCGTTCAGGCGCTCATCAGCTCCGTGCATGGACACGCAGTTAGGAGGTGGAAACGTCGACGTCTCAACTCCCTCCCCACTCCAAGACTCTGTCGCTGTGCATGGTGCAAGAAACGAGCCTGGATCCTCACCGCTCAACCAAACGGGGGGGAAATTGCTTTGGAGTTTCAACAGCCACGTGTTCTCACGTTTCACCCTCGGTGGGCATCATGGGCAAAGCCATGTCCAACCGCAGACTGCCATGGACCACACACAAGTGCTGCAGACTCTAGCTTGGGGCAGCGGTCTGAAACGTGGATGGAGGGGGGGGAAGGTGTCTTGTTCCATGTGAAAGTTACAGGATGCCAGTGACCGCCGATGGTTGTTTCGGGTGTTAGAAGCGAGAATTGTAATTCTCTGTTAGGATTTAGAGCCCGATTCGCACGTTGGCAAAGGATGGTCACTGGCGATGCGTGGAAAAAAGTTTCCGCCAAAAAGTGAATGAGGCCCTAAACCTCGAACCGGAGTGAGGAAGTGCTCACCCCTTGCGCCGATAAAGACGTGAATCAGAGCTCCCCGCTGCGTATTCGGGTCTTGCCGTGAGCTGTCGGGCATCACGTCCGACGCTTCACTCGACGAGCAGGGAGCTACTTCTGCAGCGCCCAGCAAAATGAAGCGAAACGTCGGACGCGGTGCCGGACAAAACGCGCTAGCACCCAAAACCGTGACCGAAAGGTCACTCGGCACGGCCCGGGAAAATCTACACGGCAGAGGAAGTGAATTGGAGAGCCCACACATCCACGTGCGACGCCGATGCACGTGTGCGTGCAAAGGCGTGTGCACTTAGAAGTCCCAGCAGCCATTTCTCACACTCGGTTATTGCTGTCAAATGGGGCCTTGAGGACCATTTAGCCTGAACACGCAGGGCATGTGCTCAATGTTTCATCATGGAATGCCGTGTTTTAAGGTGCAATGTAATTATGGGCTTTGGCTCTCACTTTCCTTAACACATGCCAGCAAGCCACCTGAGATCCATCGTGTGACAAAAAAAGAGACACGTGAAATGTGCACAGGGCAAATAAAACGCTCTTGTGAATGGAAAACGGCTCGATGATAAATTAGCGTACGAGCGCAGGGTGTGAGCTATGCATTAAAGTAGGGCGAGAGACAAAGCAGACAGAACGACACGCGCACGCACACACCCACACACGGGAAAATTCTCATTAAATTAAACAAACGAAAGTATAAGCAATCCGGACATGTAAAAAAGATGAATGTCTATTAACATCGGTGAGTTTAACTGGCTGGCGTATACTGCCCAATCTATCAGCTGATAGCCCTTCCAGCAAGGCAGCCTACGGCAGAGGAAACATAAACTTGTTTTGCCCTCATTAAGGCTCATCAGTGAACCAACCCCTGGCACAAAGACAGAGATCCCCCATGTAGCCTTAACATATTTTTAGGGCAAGTGCTATTAACGAGCACCTGTGCAGGCCGGCGCAGCTTAATAGGAGGTGGGTGCCCAGCACCACGCCCGGTCAGCTTCATCTCCCCAGTGGCGATGTTTAAACATCCCACCAGATACTCATTTGAGGCTGAGTCGACCTAGGATCGGTTTAAATAATCGCCATTGGTGTTGGCAGTCGTGAGTGGGAATTGAACTTGGGTAACCAGGTTCGTAGTTCAGTGCGTGAACCGCTGCTCGATGGCACAGCCACAGAATGACAGGCTGGAAGTCCACGGCTACATGTTCGAGGCCGCCGATATGTCAGAGAAAGAGAATGTGCCAGTGCAGTTGTATGCTGATTCAGTGAAGTTTTTACACAATGTAAAAGTTGGGTTGTTCTCGCTGACGAAGGCCACCCAAGCTTTCAGCCGAATGACCTTCAATAAAAGCACGAGGTTGAGGTGGCCGCATGGCTCATGGGTCAGAGCACTAAGCTGGCACTGCTGAGATCTTGGGTTTGAATGGAGGTTTCAGCCGCCCGTGATGAAACCGGATTCTCAGTCACAGTGAGGTGATAGCCTCAGCCTGGCCATCAATGACTGCATGAAAAAATCATTATATAGCGGATATTTCACATATTTAGATTTTTTAAAAATCCGTCCATAAAGATAACAATTATTGATTCGACTACCAAGCGTAAGAGGTCACACGAAGGAATCTCAGGAGTAGTTTGTTAATATCTACTTCCACTGGCCTTTCTCCAACATCGGGCGATGTGTTGATCAGCGACAGCTCTCTGTAGACACTTCGTATGAGCATGTGCAACCAAGAACATGATCGAATAGCATGAGCACAAAAGACAAACGAGAAACAAAAAGCGAGGCATCGAGTCGAGCCAGGTGTGGGAGTATACCAGCCACCCTCCGGCACCAACTCCCCAGGGGGCCCTCCTGGCAAAGACTCCAAGCCGGCGCCCTTCCTATCCCCACATCGCTATGGCAACGGTCGACCTGCCACAGCCATGAGACCTGTGGTTGACCTCGTGGCCTGCTCCTCCACCCACGACGCACTAGATCAGGGGACCTGGTGGGCCGGGTCAACCGAGGGGAGAGCGAGGCGCCCAGAGTGCCGTAGTGGGCGTTCCCGTATCGTGCAGGAAGCGAACCGACGATTAGTTTGCTGCAGTGGCCTGTGGTTTCACGCGGCGTTATCTCATCGGTACCCCAAATATCTTGCAAAGAGACCCAGTTTCAAAGGCGTTCAGTCATGGCCTCTCAATGATCCCCTGAGGGGTCACATCTCAGCTCCATAGAGCAAGACAGGAAGCGCAAGAACCTTGAAAATATGGCGCTTCATTATTATGCTAAGATAGTTGCAATGCCATTCACTGTGGTTGAGCAAATCCCCCAGTCTCGGTTGTCGCAAGACTTCTGGACAGAACCTCCGTTGCTCTGGATAACACTGCCAAGTGAAGTGAACCTATCCATGAACATCCTGGATTGTGGTTTTAGCCAGAGACTTGCAATCTCAACGGCTTCGTCTCTACACCCACAATCTCTACAATCAGCACAAGGATGTCCAGCGACTCTGCGTAAACCACCACGCGAGGAGAGTCAAGGTCAGTGACCTTCAGGTCGCCAATGCCGACCAAACCATCATCGCAGAGCGTAGGGGCAACCACACACCCCTGCCGCCTCACACTTCACAGCAATCTCAGTTCCTAAATGCAGGCCAGCCAAGAGAGCAATCGTTTTTGTTGAAATTCAATGAAGTCGCATGATCTCCAAGGGTGTCTCCGAATGCACTGCAGAGTTCAGATCATCGCGGGTAGCCGCAAGCAGCTTTTGCCAAATCCCCCAACAGCGCTCAACGAGGGAGAACTCAACGAGGGAGAACCGTTGAAGTCAGATAGCATATGGTCACGAAGGCACCAAGATGAAGATGGAAGAAAGTGAGAGCATGAGACAGAGAGAGCAACAAGCAGAGCGAACGTGAGGACGAGTGGGCGAGCGAGAGAGACAGAGACCGCGAGAGGGAGGCATCGGTGTGCTGCAGTGCAGGATTATCCTCGTAGCAAGAGTAGCTACACATGTAGCTACGGGCCCAGCACTTTCAAGGGGCCCGCGCTAAATGCTTTCAAGCTATCAATTCCGTTTGAGTGATTCTGCACTTGCTCTATTACTATAGTGCTATACTGCCTTCAACTTTTATGAACGACTAGGTGTTTAAGGTTAGCGATTTTGTCGTATTATCTGGCTGTATAGCAGCATGAAAAAATACAATTACTTTACTAACCATGTAAAAAAAGTTGCGTTTTTATATTTACGTGTGTGTGTGTTTTTTAATTAAGGCCTCTTTATAACATATGCTACAGACCCCGCACTAGCTTCATCGGGGCACTGGTGTGCTGGACAGACGAACGAGACGATAGAGCAACGCACCCCTCTCCAGCACGGGCCCGAAGATCGCCGGGCCCTCGGTCATGGTGGTGCAGTTCCACCGCCGCCCGCGGAACTGGTGCTGGCACTCCTGGATGCCGAGACGGACGCCCTCGGCCACGCTGGGCATCAGCTCCTGGTAGTTCCTGCAGAAGCGCAGCTGCTTGGGCACGAGGCCCGGGATGGAGGCGCAGAGCACGGGCTGAGAGCCCAGCGACGCCCACTGAGGCCCGACCCCCAACGACCTGCGGGGAGGGCGGGGGGGGGAGATTGTGGGTTTTAAACACGGAGGGGGAGAGACGGGATTCGGGGACACCTGGGAGATAGGGACACGTGGGGTAAGGCCCAGCCGGGGACTTTACTTTACTTCAGCCCGTGCGCACGTTGATACAGCAAGCGTGCTTCCACCTGAAGACGGAAGCTTGTGTTGCCTCCGAAATGTCGTGATTTTTATTTTTATTTTACTTTTATTAATTAGAATTTTTTACCTACGTGACTTTACTGAAAAAACCTAAGAATATGGCTTCCACTTTGAAATGGCCCGCAAACCTCTCTCAGGCGATTGTTTAAGGCAGGCAACGTGGGGCGCCACGGTGGCGAGATGTTAACCACCTCGCCTGCTATACAGGAGGTCGTGGGTTCAATCCTGACGCCTGCTGTTTATTTGGAGTTTATATCTTTTTGGATTTTTCTCCGGGTCCTCCGGTTTTTTTTCCCCCCTCCACATTTAAAAGTCTTTGACTGCTATACATTTCCACGTGATGAGCCACTTCGTTGAGCTATCATTTGTGGTCAGGAGGCTTCTGAAAAATAGCTATACGCCTTAGTGGGCATTGCCTGGCAAAATAGAAAATAGTAAATAGGAACTGCAAGGTATCCTAGCAGCACTAATCGGGTACTAGAGTGGAGTCATTTTGCCCTGGCAACAGTAGTCATCCTGTGTTTATGTTTAGCGTGCTCAGTCACTTGTGTCGCTGAAGTCGTCCAGCTTTGTACCTAGTCGACACGCGCGCTCAGTTCACTCTGCTGTGATCGCTGTGCCTTGCTGTGCCTGTGTTATGCATCGCCCTCAGCGTGTTTTGTGAGAGTGGGTGGGTGGGGGGGAGCAGTCACAGGCATCATATCAGTGCGGTAAAGGTGAACCCTAACTCGTTTTTGCGTTGGCGGAAAACGCGAAGAATGTGCGCGCGCTAATGTGTGGCCTGCCGCACATGTATTTGAAAGTCCTATTCAGCCCTCGGTACGTAAAAGGTTCCCCCAAACCCACCCCACCCACCCACCCCCCCGGGGTAATGAGACACGTGGGAAATGGGGACATCTGGAGAATATGGAGGACACCTTTGAGATGGAAAATTAATCTCACTCCCATCAATCAGTGACTTAATCTCGAAGCAGGTGACAGGCCACTCGGCAAGAGGCTCTCTTTACCGGTGAGTCCTGAGATCAGGGTCACACGTTCTGTTTCAAACATGAACACCCAAAGTGAACCAATAAAGAGCGCCAAGTAACACAATAAAAATGATTTTAGAGTTATCTAATATAATAGGCCAGACAGAAATCCCCGTAACATGCAGATGGAATGGAAGTACACACACGAAACACGTGTTTGTGTGTGTGTAACAAGAGGGCGTTGCATATGAGTACAGCTAAGTACATGAACAGGTGAGATGCGTTAACATGTGGTAGCTCAACAATTGACGGTTGAACAGGTGAGGTGAGTGAACATGTGATAGGTAAATAAGTGACAGTTGAACAGGTGATGTGAGTGAACATGTGAAAGGTAAATAAGTGACAGTTGAACAGGTGATGTGAGTGAACATGTGATAGGTAAACAAGTGACGGTTGAACAGGTGAGGTGAGTGAACATGTGATAGGTAAACAAGTGACAGTTGAACGGGTGAGGTGAGTGAACATGTGATAGGTAAACAAGTGACAGTTGAACAGGTGAGGTGAGTGAACATGTGATAGGTAAACAAGTGACGGTTGAACAGGTGAGGTGAGTGAACATGTGATAGGTAAACAAGTGACAGTTGAACAGGTGAGGTGAGTGAACATGTGATAGGTAAACAAGTGACGGTTGAACGGGTGAGGTGAGTGAACATGTGATAGGTAAACAAGTGACGGTTGAACAGGTGAGGTGAGTGAACATGTGATAGGTAAACAAGTGACAGTTGAACAGGTGAGGTGAGTGAACATGTGATAGGTAAACAAGTGACAGTTGAACAGGTGAGATGTGTGAACATGTGATAGGTAAACAAGTGACAGTTGAACAGGTGAGATGTGTGAACATGTGATAGGTAAACAAGTGACAGTTGAACAGGTGAGATGTGTGAACATGTGATAGGTAAACAAGTGACAGTTGAACAGGTGAGGTGAGTGAACATGTGATAGGTAAACAAGTGACAGTTGAACAGGTGAGGTGAGTGAACATGTGATAGGTAAACAAGTGGCAGTTGCACAGGTGAGATGTGTGAACATGTGATAGGTAAACAAGTGACAGTTGAACAGGTGAGGTGAGTGAACATATGATAGGTAAACAAGTGACGGTTGAACGGGTGAGATGCGTTAACATGTGGTAGCTAAACAATTGACGGTTTAACAGGTGAGGTTGAACAGGTGAGGTGAGTGAACAGGTGAGAAATGGATCGGTGAACAGGCGACAAAGCATGAGTCGTCAGGTGAAGAGGCTATGGTGGGGAGCTGATCGCCGCTGTTGACACGTTCACATGGAGGGATGTTGGGGAGTGAGCCAGGCTTCACGACTAGCCTCGCGAGAATGCGTAAACAGTGCCAGCAGCCAACGATCAAAGCGATGTCCATGGACCGTGAAGACCGATGGCTCTTCCTAATCGCCCATTGGTGTAGCTGAAGAGGTGAATAGGTGACTAGTGAACAAATAACGAGTCACAGATGAACAAACGCACAGGTGGCAGATGAACGGCAGGACGAGTTGCGATCTCTCGCACCCCCATTGTCGATGTTCATCAAATGCATCGTTTGGGCTATTTCGGGCTATCGCGGCCCGAAGTGGACATTGAACCACACAGAAGCGCAGCGGAAGTTGTCAGAACGCGAGCTCTTGGGCCCTCTAACATGCTACCAACGGAACGGTCCCGCTAGTTCCAGAAAGTCATGATATCCCAGATCATTTGCCACAATGTGATGTTTGCCTCCCCCACCCCCCCCCCCCCCCGGTTTAAGACGTTTTGACCTCGATGATCGGACTCGTGACACGGGCTAGGGGTGCGGCTACCTGAGCAGTGGGTGGGGATAGCAGAGTAGGTGGGGACAACCCTCAAAACAGATCGAGGAGAATGGCGATGGGAGTAGCTGCCAGCACGCGATGCGATGTGCCCCGATGGGAGCCTCCCAGACATGCGGTGGCTGTCTCTCTACTCTGTCGCCAGGCGTTTCAGGTTTTTCTTCTCGACGTGGACACTCACTGCACAAGACCTAAACACCTTTGAAATGTCAGGCTCATACGCGAGGGATGCCTTCCATAGCCTCAAGCGCCGGGAGCAGCCTAAGAATAACACGCCATTTAGTCTAGACCATCGTGGAATGTTCAAACTGATGCTACTGATTGTGATGTTCCCCGGCATAGGAATGTCGAATTTCCACCCCTGACTCAGGGCCGCCAGTGGAGATGAGCGTCGCCCTGTATCTCGGTTGAGCAGGAAAACGACTTGACTTTGACTCTGGTTGATATTTCGTTTCATAATCTGCTTACTTCCTGTAAACATGTGACCAAATCATCCTGAATGCGCCCGATATCGAATGTTGGTAGCTGAGCAGGTATGGACCTGGTCAGTACTCAGACGGGGAGACTTCCTGACAATTCCAGGTGTTGTAAGATTGGGCTGTGAAGTTGGTCAAGAGATGGCGGTAGAGCGATTGATTCTTGAATCTATATGTACGGAGCGTTACGTGTTTTAATCTCAACACCTCAACACATTCCTCAATAACACTGTGACCTTGAAAGGAAATGTATCCTATAGGTGACGTTTCGAGCAATGGCCCTTCTTCGTAGCATATATGCGTGGTGAATTTTCTCCGGGTACTCCATGGTAACCTCCCACATGCACGCTCTCTCATTCACGGGATTGGCCAAACATCCCAACACATCACTGAAAAGATCTTAAGACTCGGCGAGATTTTCTCACACAAAGGCCATTATTAATATTATTAGCTTGTTAAAATTTAAACCTCACGATCAACTGGATCTAAAGAGAGAGGGAGAAAAAAACCCCAGCGAGACAATGCCTTGAAGTCTTTGTAGTCGTTGTCGTCCTAGTATTATTATGAGCGTGGCTGTTGTTGCACACTTGGAGGTGCTGCCCGCCTGCCCTCGCCGTCCAACACGTTGCCCGGCACGTGAGCGCATGTCGCGCACGTGGCCTCTGCCTACGAGCACTCGTCTGGCAGAGAGAGCGAGCAAACAGCATCGCCGCTCGCAGCCCCGAGCCACTGCTGGAAAAATGTCCACGTTTCCATGGCGGATGTCATGTCTCGTCACGAGAACGTCCAGCTGATCACGTTGTACCAACACGATATCCGTACATTGACGAGGCAGTGCTGTGTCTGAACTGCGGTCACGCGTACACGATAGCGACACTTTTCGATTTAAAGCTTTCGTGACTGCAGGGATTCATCTTCTTGGTTCTTTCGGTAAAGTCACGTAGAAGGGAAATAATAAAATCATTAAAATGAAACATAATAAAATAATTCTCACGACATTTCCCTTCTACGTGACTTTACCGAAAGAACCAAAAATATAGCGACACTGTGTGTATATTTATCTAAAGAGGCTGGTTCGCTGGTCGTTTGCGAATGCTCATTTTGGTCCGTCGAGCTGGATGTGAACATTGCTAGCAGAGTTTAGTGCAGCCATAGTGAGCGAACGCACACACGCGCGTGGGTCAGATATCGCCAAAACAAAAACGAAACCCCCCACCGATGATAATGAAATGTTCGCCAATGTGTGCAACAGACCCGCCACGCAGCAGTGCAAGTACACATTTCGTGTGCAAGTTCATTGTCTTCCAAGCAAATAGGATGAGCGCAGGCCCGCGTCTGAGCCCCGTACACCGAGTTGCCACGAGACACGGGCAACCAGGAGCTTGAACTCGGGGTGCCCGTCCAGGCAGCGCGTTCACCACAACGTCTGTTGAGTATGAACACTTCGGCTGTCGCGACCAATAACTGACTACGTTAACCCCTTTCTGGTCTTCGCACTTGGCAGCCT